CCACCGCTGTGTAAAAAATTTATATTTATTTAATATCTAAAAAAAGAAAAAATGCTGTTAAAATCTTAAACCCTGTAACCATACCATAAATCATAATTGTAACTAATGGCCATGTAGCTGCCGAGTTTTTTTCTTGATCAATAAAAAAAAAAAAATAATAAGTGTAATTATTAATTTGTATTAACCATGTTTTTAATTTTGTATTAATAAGTTGAATATTGGTTGATTTTTAATCAATAATGTTTAATGTTTTGATTATTTGGAACTTTTATACTTTACCGGACACCCCTTTTTTTGGCCATTTTTTTTTTGGACTTAGTCATTTTATTAACGAAAAAAATGTTGGTGAAATCAGAATTTGGGGCTCGGACGTAGTTTTTAAGTTACAGGCTTATGAAGTTAAGCGCTTTTTCACAATTCTCTTAAATAGGTAATTTGATCAAAATTATTTATTCTGAATTATGGTGCGGTGGTCAGATTCCTCTTTCCTGCGCGGAAAGCCCGGGTTCGATACTCAAATTGTACCTTTGTTTTTTTGCACTTTTTTTCTCAATTTTTTTTTTATAATTTTGAGTTTTTATGGAAATTAAAAATAAAATTTCTTTTGATCTTACCGACTTGCCCAGCAAGTCCATTTGTGGACAATGAACTGCAAATTTCCGGTAATGAGATTGCAAATGAGGCTTACGGATAAAACTTTAACGGACTGGTCGTCTTTTTGTCGTGAAGTGGCATATGACATGATGGTGATCAATAAGACGAAATTGGGTGGATATGGTCACATCGTCGAAATTGACGAATCCAAATTCGGACGTCGGAAACACCACAGGGGCCATAGAGTCGAAGGCCAATGGGTATTTGGAGGCTATGAGAGGGAAACTGGTAAGTGTTTCATGGTCCCGGTTGAGAACCGTAGTGCCACAACCCTCCTCGCCGTCATAAAGGACGGTTAGGCTTTTATCCACATAAAACCCGGAACAACTATTATATCAGATTGTTGGAAGGTAGTATACTTTTGCATACATTTAAATTATAAATGTAATAAATTATTTTATTTTAGGCTTACAATACCTTAAAAGATGAAGGCTATGTTCACATGACTGTGAACCATAGTCTTCACTTTAAAGATCCGGTAACAGGTGTGCACTTCAACACCATTGAAAGTACATGGAGACATTCCAAACAATCAATGTCAAATTATTGCCGGAAAAAGTCTTTTTATGCTGGGTATTTAGCCAAATTTATGTTTACCAAACATTGCCGATTACATAATTTAGACCCGACGACGGAATTTTTCAAACACGCTGGCATGCTTTATCACGTGGATAATACCGAACATCACACTTTTGTCAACGGCGACGGTGACGAAGACGGTGGCGACGGTGACGAAGACGGTGGCGACGGTGACGAAGACGGTGGCGACGGTGACGAAGACGGTGGCGAAGATGATGACAATGACGACGTTGACGATGACAGTGGCGACAGTGACGATGATAGTAGCGACAGTGACGATGACAGTGGCGAGCAACAAGACGAATAACAGACTAATGTTTTATTTAAACACGTTCAAATGTTCAAGTTTGTAAGATTGGTAGTACCGGCGGAATAATAGCTAATTGTACGGCAATGAATGGCCAATACAAAAACGTGTTAAATTAAAAAAATGTAAATAAACTTGTAATAATAATATGTAGAGTAGATTGTACAATTGTAGTTGATTGTAAGTTAAACGTTATTATGGGTCGGGGGCAGTCTGTAGTTGTCCGAAAAATGATAAGGAAGTTTATACCACGAATTATACCATCATATACCAACGATCCATCAGTGACACCAAACTCGAAATTATTTATAGTCGTGCCCGCTCAGTGATGCCCACGTTGCCACTCGCTCGCTGCGCTACGCTCGGACAAAAAAATCAAAAATATCCCCCGACTTGCTGTGCAACACCTCCCCAAGTGGGTCACAGGGTTAAGAAAATTGAATTTTTGGTGCACCGGGTCACCGAGCGGGGTCACTCGCTCGCTACGCTCGCTCGGACAATTAAAAACGAAAATATCCTCCGATTTGCTGTGCAAATTTAAAATTTGTATCAAATATATTTAACATTTTTACAGTATTTATTTATTATTTATTTTAATTGGGCTAATATACTTAGTCTATTAGTCTAATTAGGTACTCAACTATAGTTTATATTTCACCATAATAATGACGTGATTCACAATATTACTTACCCAAGACTGACTATGTCCCAAAACTTGTTAAAATACGTAAAAAAAAAAATTTGTTATTGGCGCGCGTGGCAGTCAAGTAGCGTTGCGCGCATGCGCATAAACGTAAAATCGTAAACTTTGGAAGGCTATAACTTCTAAAATAATAGTTTCCGGGAAAAAAAATTACACTATCGTTTTAAGCATAAAAAAACGTCTTTTGAAAAAAAAAAATTTGAAAATCGTGAGGGGGTTGGTAAAGTAGATTTTAGCCAAGTAGGTCACAGAGTAAAAAAAAAAAAAATAATTATAATAATTCAAAAAGAATAAAAAATATTGCAAACAACTTTTACTGGATTCCTGGTCTAGAACCTGGGGTGTTGCAGGCCGCAACCAATTTAAAGACCACTGCACCACACCTAACTATATGAAGATATTACCAAATTACTTATTTAAGAGACTTGTGAAAAAGCGTTAAACTTCATAGGCCTGTAACTTGAAAACTAAGTCCGAGCCCCAAATTCTGACTTCACTATCGTTTTAAGCATACAAAACTACATAGGTTCAAAAAAATAAAATTACAAAAAAAAGGGTGTCCGGTAAAGTATAAATATACCGATTATTTTAATCGAATGAATATCTCGACCATGACGAAATAATATTTCGATTATTTTAATCGAGTGAATACCTCGATTATCGAAATCATTCGATTATTCCCATCACTATTAATAAATTAGTAACTGTTGGTGTTAAGTTTAACGTGTTTCATATCATTTCATTTTGTTATATGTTATCATTTTCATGTGTGCGCAACGGTGCGTTCCACAGTTGCAGTCTGGTCGGTAGATCTGCCAGCTGTGGAAACATTATCAGTTCATGTTTTCAAATATTCGTTAATGTTCAACATTTCAAAGTTCATCACTGTTTTATTATTTGTCAAGTCTTCGTGAGCAGTTGCAGGCACATACTCGCATGTACGCAGGGTCAACTTGATTTTATTTGTATTATTGTTGATATACTTACAGGCCCTGGTTAGGTAGCATGGGTGTAAAACCAGGTGTGTGTCTCAACTGTTATTGTGAGTATTGGTCGACCAAATATTTGTGTGGGTCTTTAGTTATTATATTATTACATTATTATTGCATTTTCAATTATAGCCATTTGGGCACATCGTTCCTTATAGCCATCTAGGCCAAATTTATATATTGTATCATTTCATTGCATTTTTATTCATAGCCATTCAGGCCAAATTTATATATAGTATTGTTTTATTGTTGTACTAAACAGGCAAATTGTATTTTAATTATATAATAAACTAACTGCCACCAAATATTACATAATATTATTTTTATTGTATACTCTGATGTAGTGCTTCATATTATGTTGCCCACCTCAATGTCGTGAATGCCCAACTTATTCTCTTTTATTTAAATAAGCTCTGAATGCGGCATTAATAACTGTATAAAAATATTAATATAATACATACACGATACATAACATTACATATATATGATGTTTTTACACATACTAATCTTTAAAATTCCTTTAGGAAATGATGACTTAGCTGCCATTCTGTTATTACCTTACTTATTTAATCCAGTGAACATTAAAATAGCAGAAAAAACCACTGACAACAATGTTGCAAAATATTTAATGCAGAGGCCAACAAAATTAGAACAAGCCAGTGCAGTTATAATTCACATAACTGTAAGTTTCAAATTTATAACAATACTAATAAGTTAAAAAAAATAAAAGTATTTGAATACATAAGTTACTATAACTGTTTGTATTAAACTTATTATAGAATATCAATGATCTCAAACAACACACGGAGAGAAAGTGAACAGTACATTCAAATGTGGGCTTACTGTACAACCGTATATTGTCATTGTAGAAAATATTGAAGAACTTAATTCCACAATTAGCTATTACACAGTTATTAATGACATATACTATAAGCTAGAAACTCCTATCAAGACCTTAGATATATGCTTCAAGTCATTTCATTCGTTTGATTTAGAATATCTCCAAGAGGCTGAACAGGTATGGCGGTTCATTCAGGATTATTTTTTTAACATAAACCATAATTTAAAAAAAAATTTATAGCTGTGCAAAGCCTAATTGAGGATTTGCAGTAATAAGTTATTATAATAATAGTGGATAATGCTACTTATTGGATTTTCTTAATAATATTTTATATTTTGTTTTTCCTATACTAAGATTTTCTGTTTAGTGTGAATGTACTCCTATGTATAAAGTTATTTGATATCATAATCACATTCAATTAACTATTCAAATTTCTTCTTAAGTATAATATAAATAATCTTAAAATGATCAGCTGCTTTTTATGTAATTACGAGGTCCAATGCCTCAATCATTTATTCATACATTTTAATATTTACCATGATTTAAAATCAATTGAAAAATTAAATTGTCCATTAGAGGGTTGTTTACGTATTTTTAATAAAGTTGATACTTATAAAAAACATCTGAAATAGCATGAAATTGATTCTAATCCCAATATGAATTTAAAAAAAAAAATACATTTAATTTGCTTGAACAAACTACTGGCTATGAAGAATATCTTGATAATGAAAATATTGGGGAACAAAATTATAGTATGCCTCCGGCCGATGATTTCATAAAAATAAGATCAAATGCTTTAAGCATGATTTGTAAATGGTATGGTAATACAGTTATTCATAGAAATAAAATTGATGTTTTAATTAATGATTTTCAAGATTTTATTGATTTCATTGTTTCAGTTTTTAGTTCTAAAATTGACATATGTATTAATAAATGTGGTGATACTTTAATCAAACATGAATTATCAGTAATACTTAGTGAAGTGAAAATTTTGTCAGCTCCCTTTGTTAATATGAAAACTAAGTACACAAGATTTGAAACACTTGAAGAATTAGATGTATTAATCCATCCTAAAGAAATAGTTATTGGTCACAGATTAGGTGACAAATTAGTAAATGGAAGAGTTGTAGTAGAGCCTATAGATGTTAAAATATGCTCAATTCCATTAAGAGACATATTAAAAAAAATGTTAGAACATTCAGATTTATCAGATGTAGTATTTAAGCATACTGAAAACATGAAATCCAGTAAATTGATTTATAACTTTATGCAGTCTCAACAATGGCAAGAAAAATGTACAAACAATAATTCAAATAAACTCGTTTACCCATTATTTTTATATTTTGATGATTTTGAAGTCAATAATCCACTCGGTACGCATGCTGGTTCACAAAAGTTAGGTGCAATATATGTATCCTTAGCATGTTTACCTCCTGAGTTATCTTCATCTTCAGATGAAATATTTTTAGTATCACTTTTTAAAACCAATGATAAAAAATATTTTTGAAATAGTATTATTTTTAAAGTTTTAGAAATTACTGGTATTTTTGTTACTGTCAATAATAAAGTTCATCATATATTCTTCTCTTTGGGTTTGATTATAGGAGATAATTTGGGCTTACATTCTACATTAGGGTTTACTTAAAGTATTGTTTCCAGATATCCATGCAGGTTTTGTAAGACAATTAAAAACGAATGCCATGTACAAACAACAGAGGTAAATAGAAATCTTAGAAACAGTATAAATTATGATAATGATCTTGAAATTCATGAAGTATCATTAACTGGAGTAAAAGAACCATGTGTGTGGAATGAAATAAGTTCTTTTCATGTAATACAGAATTATTGTGTTGGCATAATGCATGACATGTTAGAGGGAGTATGTAATTATGATATAGGTTTGATGCTGAAAATAATGATTTTTGATTTAAAATATTTTTCAATTGATAAACTAAATAATAGAATTGAATTATTTGACTATGGATCAATAGATATCAGAAATCGACCAACGTTAATTACTAGTGAAACTTTAAAAGGTAAAAGAAATAAACTAAAAATGTCAGCTAGTGAAATGCTTCTGTTGAATGTTTGTTTATAGAAGGAGATATATGTACTAAAAATCGATCTAATATTAGTGATTGTAATTTTGAAAACGCATTATTAAATTACAGTCAAAACTCTTTATAACGAATCTGAAGGGACCAAGAGATTTCTTTCGTTATAGAGAGTTTTCGTAATAGAGAGGGTTTAAAAAAAACAAAATTTTAATTATTTATGTATAAAGGTATGTATCTATGTAATATTATATATCAAACACATCATTATTTTTACAAATAATGAAAGAATGTAATCGTTCTTGGAAATGTCGGCATTATTGCCGATTATTTTTATAGTTTATATATGTAATAGATACGATAACACGTAAATTGTATTATGAAACATTAAATATTGTTTTGTTATTGAGAGTGACTTATACGTTATAGAGAATGAATTGTCTAATGGGTTATATAGCAAACCAACCATTATTATGTAATGTTTACGTTTTATAGAGTTTTTCGTTGTAAAGAGTTTTCACTGTATATAAATTTGAAAAATAAAGATTAATATTTAATGTGGTGCAAAATCAGTATCTGTTAATAAATTCATATTGTTGATTATCATTATTTAGTTTATATATTGTCGTATTTACAACATGGTTATTAAGAAACGGATTATATGTCACCAAGCCATGTTTTAATACAAAATGAACTGACACTTTTTCAGGAGATGAAGTGGTTTCAAACAATCGTAGTTCGGATACAACAGCACAAGTTAAACTACTGCTGTCTGAAATCTCAAAACTGTTGGTATACAACTACCTTACTTATGAATTCAGAGGAGTCATCAGTTACCAGCACAACCAAAATTAAGAACGTCATCTAGGCATTACAATGCATACACTATTAGGGGAACTAAAATTGGCAATTGTTTGATGACATCAAGAAAAAACCAATTCCAGTTAAAGAAAATAAAGAAGTTTCTGAACTACTAGTATATACTATTTAAAATAACTGCCCAATATTTTTTTATGCATTGATAAATTGTAATCATACCTTTTAACCTACTTCTTAATTACAGAATAAATAATTTTTTAATTAAATAATTGATTTTGATGTAAATAATCCGTTGGGGTCTCATGCTGGAACATAAAAACTTGAAACTGTATATTTTTGTCTTCATTTCTTTAATTAGTTAGTACAACTACTTTGTAACAATGTCTTAAATATAGCTGTTAAGGGTGCTCCAATCATGTAATATTGTTTGGGCATCTATCTATATCATCGTAAAAGTAACTATTTATTTAGTTATTATGACTACTTGGAAACAATGAACTAAGTAACTATAATTTTTATTGTAAAAACTTATTATAAAACAACAAAATAAAGTTGACAATAACTTTGTAATATAGTTACATTAATCAAATATTATTGTTAAAAAATAGTTAAGTGGTGTGTGGCTAAGGCCCGGTTTTTCAATTGTCATAATAACTGCCAGTTAGTTAACCACCAGATAAATTAAACTATCGTTTAAAGCGGCGGTTAAATAGTGCACTGTTTATCAAGTGAAATTGATGTGCCAGTTAGTTAACTAGAGGTTAATCGTAAAATCAACATATCTTACGAGTGGTCATACTGCATAAAGTGTATTATCCACGATTTAAGATAGTACTATCTATTATTTTGCTTTTGCTAGTATCACCGATTATGTTTTGAAAGTGACTGTTCAACTACTGTAATGTTGTCTAATGTATTTACTTAACGCTGTGGCTAGAGACCCGGACACCGGGTATCTAATACGTACCCGGACACTGCTTTGCGCATGCGCGGGGACTTAATATTTTCGCCACGATGTTATCACTGTTATCAGGTAGGTTAGGTGTTATCAAATCAACTGTTATCAATCCCGCGTAAATTTGAATTATCTTATTTAATATTCAAATTTTTTAAAATACCGGTTTCAGTGAACTGTTTTTACAATTGCAATTTATTACCTACCTCTTGATAAAATACTGTAATTATATACTTTGCTCCTCCTAGTCTATAATACAAATGTAAGGGTATATTATTTATTTAAAAATAGTTTGTTTTGTGGTTTTTCATCATATTTTTGAATTTAACAGTGAAAGTTTTAACAGTGACAGCATTAACAAAGCTATTTGTATAATAAATTAAAAATTAGTGTTAAATTAAAATAATTAAAGTTATCAAGATGCGCATAGGTGACACATTTGAAAGTTATGCAGAATTTGAAAAAGCCTTAAATAATTTCAAGACATCAAACTTTGTTGACTATTGCATTAAAGACTGCAAGACTATTTCATCTCAAAAACACAGGTACCCAAGATTGGCAAATACGTCTGAAAATTTAAAATACTATTATGTTAAACTTATGTGTATTCATGGAGGGGTCCATAAAAAAAAAAAGATTTGCCAAGATCAACGAAATACCTCGTAAGTATTTAAAGTATTATAGGTAGTACCTAACCTACTATGTATATATTATATTTATTTTATTTATATATCCACCCTAAACTTAATTCAGAACTATGCGCCAAGGTTGTCAAGCTTTTATTTATTTAATAATAAACAGTCAAGGAAATGCATTAGAAATTAGTCGAATGGATAACAACCATAACCATGTATTATCTGAAACATTATTCAATCATCTTCCAAACCAACGAAAGATTAACCCGCAAAATAAAACTGAAGTTCTTGAGTTAATGGAATTAAGA